CATGGCTGACTGGTGTAACTACCTCGCCATGGATATCCTCGGTGATCTGTCGTTCGGCAAGGCGTTCCACATGCTCGAGGCTCCGGATAACAGGTTCGCGTTGGATCTGGTTGCGGCTGCGACCAAGAGGCATCTTATCTGCGGCACGATGCCGATCGTCGACAAGCTCAAGCTCGACAAGTTTCTCTTTCCGACGATCGCGGCCGGTCGCGCAAGATACATGGCGTACAGCAAGGGACAGCTGACGGAGAGAACGAAGCTGGGCGAGGATACCGACCGCAGAGACTTCTTCTACTACCTCCTCAAGGCGCGTGACCCCGAGACTGGCCAGGGATTCTCGACTCCTGAGCTTTGGGGAGAGTCAAACCTGCTGTGAGTATTCTTACCAAATGTCTGAATCAGAGTTCATACTGACGAAAACAGCATCATCGCCGGTTCCGACACCACATCAACCGCCATGGCCGCCACAATCTTCTACCTCGTCCGCAACGCCGACGCCCTGCAGAAGGCCACCGAGGAAGTCCGCAGCAAATTCACCGACGTCGAGGAGATCCGCCAAGGCGCCACTCTCAACTCCTGCACCTACCTCCGCGCCTGCATCGACGAAGCGATGCGTCTGTCCCCCTCCGTCGGCGGCCTTCTTCCCCGCGAGGTTCTCGCCGGCGGCATGACCATCGACGGAGCCCACATCCCCGCCGGCACCGTCGTCGGAACGCCGCACTACACCATCCACCACAACGAAGACTACTACCCCTCGGCCTACTCGTACATCCCGGAGCGCTGGATGTTCGGCGCGACGAACCCGGTCAGCGGGCGGCAGACGACGGAGGAGGACGCGGCGAGAGCGCAGAGCGCGTTCTGTCCGTTTTCGATCGGCGCGAGAGGGTGTATCGGCAAGGGACTCGCGTACGCTGAGATGTCCACCACGATCGCGCGCACGTTGTTCCTGTACGACATGCGCAAGGCGGTCGGCGTCGTCGATCCGGCCGAGGGACGGGCGGATCTGGAGGAGGGAAGGAGGAGGGTTTCGGAGTTCCAGCTATTCGACACGTTTACGAGTATGAAGGATGGTCCGTTGGTGGAATTCCGGGCGAGGGCTTAGGGTGAGGTGCCAAGCTCATGATGTCTTGTTTGGTGTTCTTGGAAGAGCCTGAATGTTTCCATCATGGCCCCAGGTTGGCAAATATGGCCGGACTTTGTTGTGGATTTCAATTGAGCATTGGGAGTAGCGTGTATGACTTGCATGAAGCCTTTCGTCATCGAAGGACGATGAATGAGTCTTGCTCTTTCTTGGTTAGCACATGTCAGCGCATCAGAAGATAAAAAATGAATGAACGAAAAAGATTGAACCATAACCCATCATGAGGGGCAAGTGGGGATGGTCCTCGTGAGCTCTTGTCCGTCCGAACTTGCGCACCATTCAGAAGCTTCTGTCAGCTTTTCTCCAACTGCCATATCCGGCTCTTGATCGGCAAACGGGGAGCTCCCTGTCAGGTACAGCCCCCATGCTCACCCGTCATGCCGTCCGAACCTTGTGTGTGTTTTCTTCAAGCTCAAGCTCTCCTCTCTCTGATTCGTGCGTCACAAACGCGGGGATCACGGAGCCGATGAACTACGAACTACCACCGCCCGGGTTCCACACCGCTGCAACCTCACCACCACATCTTGTGATCGCGCACCGGAGCCGATTTGGGGAGCTTTGGCCGTTTCTGCGGGGATTCGCTGAAGGTGTGGGGGAATGGTGCTGGGTTCCTTGGTCGGCAGATTCGACAAGCAATGCGGGGGCGGGACGAACGGCGGTCGATCCAAGAGCTGGCGCACCCTTGTCGTCGCTGGACTGCCGTCGTCTGATTTCGGGTCGTTATCCGGAGGGAGATTGAGTCTGGGGGTTGCGCGGCCTCGGCTGCCCTCGTGTTCTCGGGCGAAAGCAACCCCCGAGCCCAATCGCCTGAGGGTCGCCCGAGAGATGCCCCGCTGCGGCCATGGTTGAGTGCTAGTCATGAACATTGGCGCGTACCATTTCAGGGAATAGTCTGGAGGGGGTGAAGTTTTGCCAATGCTCGTGATGTCAGTGTTGATGTCTTAGGTCTTGGGGGAAGATGCAGGTCCCGTTCTCGGTCCGTGAGGGGAAGTTGGATGGCTGGTGGTCGTATGCAATGCGAAGTGATATAAGAGCCGGAGAGGGTCGCGGAATGATACCATAGCTCCTGTCTGTCGCGACAACCTCCCGGACGCGTCGTTCTTCAGTCCTAGGCTCCTCACAATGAAGTTCCTCAGCACCCTTGTCGGGTTCGCCGGCCTATGCGCCGCTCTCCCCCACAACACCAGGCAGAGCTGGCCCAATGGCCCTCTTGTGGCTAACGGAGGCGAGGCCGTTGATGCCTCTGGCAACCGCGTTGTCTTCGCTGGCACCAACTGGCCTGGCCACGGCGAGGTCATGGTCCCCGAGGGTCTGCAGTTCCTCTCCGTCGAGGGCGTTGTCTCCAAGATCAAGAGCATTGGCATGAACGCCATTCGCCTGACGTACGCCATTGAGCTTGTCGACCAGATTTACGCCAACGATGGCAAGGATATCGACCTGAAGACCGCCTTCGTCAACGGTCTCGGTGAGACAAACGGCACTGCCGTTCTGGCCCAGGTTTTGGCCAAGAACCCTTCCTTCACGGAGGCGACCACCCGTCTCGAGGTTGGTGTACCTGAAGATCGTCAGATTCTGTCATGCTAACTTGCAAAAAAAGGTCTACGACGCTATTGCTGCCGAATGCGAGAAGCAGCAAGTCTACATCCTCCTCGATAACCACATGTCCAAGGGCAAGTGGTGTTGCTCCGGTGACGATGGAAACACCTGGTGGGGTGACACCGAGTTCAATGCGACGAACTGGGTCCGCGGACTGACCTACATGGCCAACCACGTAAGTCAATGACCACCATCTTCAATCTTCACAGACCGCTAACATATCACAGGGAAAATCCTGGCCCGCCTTCGTCGCCATGTCCCTCCGCAACGAGCTCCGCCAAGCCACCAACAACCCCGACCTCGTCTCCGCCTCCTACCACTGGCAAGACTGGTACAAGTACATCCAGCAGGGCACCAACGCCATCAACGGCGCGAACCCCGACGTGCTCATCTACCTTTCCGGTCTCAACTACGACACCACCGTCGCGCCCGTCTTCGAGGGCACCGCGCTCGAGCCCGGCACCGAGACCTTCAGCCTCGCCGACTTTGAGGGCTACGCCAACAAGCTGGTGCTCGAGATCCACAACTACGAGGGCTCCATCGGTAGCTGCGACTCGCTCAAGTACAACCTGTACCACAAGGGCTTCCAGGCGGCGAACGCGAGCGACCCCGAGACGGTCAATGTGTTCCCTGTCGCGCTGACGGAGTTTGGTTTCAACATGAACGATAACACGTACCAGAATGTGTACTCTACCTGTCTGTCGGAGTATCTGCCCGAGTACAAGGCTAGTTGGTTCATTTGGGTGCTGGTTGGAAGCTACTACACCCGCCAGGGCACGCAGAACTTTGACGAGAGCTGGGGATTGCTGAAGGCTGACTGGTCGGACTGGAGGAACCAGGATTATGTTGACCAGCAGCTGGCGCCCATGGTCGCTGCCTCTTTGGCATAACCGTATGGTTTTGTACATAGTCCTAAGTATTGATGATGAAACTCACAAATCTGTTTACGCCTTTGCTGGCAGAACTCCGGCTGCACTCGGAGAACTGTTTGTTTCTCTTAGAAGCGACTTGCAACTCGAGAGTGTTCGTAGTAGATGAAGTAAAGTTTTGAACGGCGAGGACCGTATCTCTGGCAAAAGATACTCAAATGCGCCCATGTATGATACTTTGACGAGTTCATCCACAGCACATTCAGGGGATATGAATTTTCTACGATAGAACTCGTGTTCCATGTTTAGGCCGCGGCTTGCCGGTCTGTGGAGCTTTCCTGGCCAGCCCAAGCTAGCTGGTCGAACTCAGACACGCCATTCATGGCAGATTTGCGCGCCTTGGATGCTGCGGGCGGCCCCTTCATTGTAATTGAAGCTTCCTATGGAGAAAAGTTTATCTGCTACGAGAGCGCTACCTCGAAGGGTTATGCTGAGTGCACCAATTATCACTTAGACCAGTCGGACCGGGGTCGGCAATGGTCGTCACAGCAGCACGAAGACGCCAGTATTGGGCTGTCAAAATAGCTCTCTGGCTTCAATCTCTCAAATAACAGGTCTGCCTTATTTGAAAATGGGCTCAACACGCTATTGTAACGGACCAAAGGCAGATGATGTCGTGCTGAGGCCTTTTCTTTTTCCCACGGCCCGACATGGTTGTAATATGGATGCGCCCGGCGGCAGTAAATGGGAAGATCACTGTCAAGTCGTTAGGAAATGACGGGGTCCCCGTGTGTAAATGCAATTAGCAATAGAAGAATAAAATCCACTATGTCCAGAGATTAACCCGGAAAGATCGCGTCTCGGCTGTGAGACTTTGCAGGAGCTTGACCCGTCTAACGTTTGAACGAGGGAGAGAAAGAGGAAACGGATGTGAGTGAAATTCGTGGGGATGTTGTCTTTAACCTGTTGAGCTGCCCTGGACTCCGACCCACTGACACGGCCCGCAAATTGCTACGTCCCCCCCACTCCCGAGCCTCACACACGCTGGGTGAGACAAACATTCAAGCACTGTCACACTCCAAGTCGTCACGATTGGGTGTCTTGCATCAATCCTTGAAAGAGGGGCGGGTGAATAATAGATCTCATCTATTAGCAGTTGGCATCCTGTAGTAATTACATATCACCTCGGGGTTCAAAGTTTTCCGGCTAGATCTTCCTGCGTGTAAGTGTCATTGCAACGGACATTAAATGTCCGGGAGTGTCCATAAAAAGAGCAAACGATGTAGTCCTGTGCCTTTTGCAGTTCCCATGAGCAATCAGACTACAAAAGAATCTTCTTATACGCCCTTTTGGACAGAACACAGACTCATTTTACGGAAACGTAATACACAGCGATGTCTTCACCATTAGCCGCCTGTGCCGTCGTTTTCTTGCTGGTATGAACTACGCCCTTCAGAAGACACCATACAGAATCTGTATGATACTTATATCTTTTATGTACCTACAGTGTCTGGCATACGTCTGTGGAAAGGCCCTTTACAATATTCTACTCCACCCTTTGCGCCATTTCCCAGGTCCCAAAGCATGGACTGCAAGCCGAGTGCGCTACGCGATATCGAAGATCGACGGCCGACCACACGAGGATCTTCTCCGACTCCATGACAAATACGGCCCGGTTGTGAGGATCGCCGACAATGAACTCTCCTTCATACACCCCGACGCGTGGAAGGAAAGCAACGGCCACCGCAAAGGATCGAAGCCCGAAAACGTGAAGGAACCACTTGCGACTGTGGGTAATGAGCATAATCTATTCGGCGCCAGCCTTGAGGACCACAGCAGAATGCGCCGTGTCCTATCCCATGGGTTCTCGATGCAGGCTATCTTGAACCAGCAGCCACTCATATCCGTTCATGTCGACCTGTTCATCCGACGGCTTCACGAGCACTGCGAAAATGGTACGTCTCCTGTCGATATGGTGACGTGGTATAATCGTGTCACGTTCGACATCATTAGCGATCTGTCCTGGGGCCAGCCTCTCGGGTGCCTTGCGAAGCAGCAAGACCACCCTTGGATCGCTGCTTTGAGTCGCACCGTCAAGCATCAGATGTTCCGCGGCCTCGCAATGCGCTTTCCCCCCTTCTCCCCTTTATTGAAGGCACTAATCCCAGAGGAACTCTCTCGCGGGGAGGAAGAGAACTTTGCCCTGGCTGCAGCCAATGTAGAGAAGCGGATCGCTGAAGGGGGTTCCCGCCCGGACTTTTAGGGAGTCTATGCTCCGACAGAAGGGCGAAAAGGCAAGTCTCTTTGTGGCGAAGCCGACGCCGGATAAGATATGCTGATAAGAATCTCCTCCCAAAAGACGATTGAGAAGCGCGAGATGGTCAGCAACAGCTTCCTTCTCATGCTGGGCGGGTCCGAGACATCGGCGACGGCGCTGTCTGCTGTCACATTCTTCGTCACGTCTCATCCGAAAGTCATGGAACGCCTTACCAACGAGATCCTTTCAGCTTTTCCCAGAGAGGAAGACATCGACGTTCACTCCGTTCAGAAGCTGCCCTACCTTCTCGCCGTCCTGGACGAGACTCTCCGGTTAAACCCACCGCTTCCCCACACGTCACCACGAGTGGTGCGCAAAGGCGGCGACGAGTTTTGTGGGTATTTTGTGCCCGAGGGTGTAAGTTTTCATCCTTGCTCAAATCTGTGCCGGCAGATAAAAGCTGTGTAGTCACTAACCTCCTTAGACCGTTATCAGCATCCCGCATTGGGCAATGTACCACAGCTCGAGCAACTTTACCGAGCCCGAATCGTTCATTCCGGAGCGATGGCTTGGTGATCCCCGGTTCGAAACCGACCAGAGAGAGGGCCGGAAGCCCTTTTCCTTTGGGCCTCGAAACTGCATCGGAATGAAGTACGTTGAAGCCCTGTAGTTGCATGTCTCAATGCTTGCGACATTCTGCTGACAAACTTCCGAACACAGTCTTGCGTATATTGAGATGAGAACTATTCTGGCTAGGGTCATCTGGAACTTCGAAATGAGGCTCGCCCACGAGAGCAAGAGGTGGACACAAGGGCAAAAGGCGTGGGTTGTTTGGGAGAAGCCCGACCTAATGGTGTACCTAACACCTCGTGACCGGTCCGTTTGAAGGACGGATGCGATGAAACCTTAGGTGCGTTTTACATGAGAGGGAGAAGAAGGGAGCAAAATCGGAGTTCTCCGGAACATATCTGTGAGCATGCCATAGGATGTACTTCTAGCCCCGCGAGCTTCATACTTGGGAGCAAATAGACCAAAGCGAAAAAGCGCTGTCTTGTGGCAATGCTCGCAGTAAATCGTCGCAAAGTGCATATGCGGTCCGCAGTGCATCGGACCAAACTTTCCACTGACGGAATACATGTGAGTCTGGCCCAGGTCTTTGATAGGCTTAGTCAATGTCAGGGCATCAGCAAACCACTGGATGATGTCGTCGCCTCTTAGCCCAAGAGACTTCACCCACCAACCCCACCATTGCCGGCATCCCTCATGGTGTACTAGAAGAGTTTTCTTCATTGAATCAACGAGATTGTTGTCTTTGATATGCTTCATGATGGCGTGCTTATCTGCTCCGTAGATCCTTGATCCCAAAGTCTCTACAAAAGGTTCTAGGTCAGGTCCCGTAACGGTGAGGGTCATGCCAATAGACGAGCCGAGATGCCACACATCATGACCAAATCCAACAGGCTCTAGTATCATCTGAACAAGACCAATCGTCTCGAGCTTGGCCCAAAGTGTATGCTCCTATGACCCAAGCGAAGGTCGACCATAAGTAGGTGGGCTGACCTGATCCCCAAAGTCCCACGTCTACAAGTCGTTGAAATTATATGCCTCTTCGGATCTAAGCGCCGCTCGTATATGATCAACTTCGGAGTCATAAGCAGAGGGCTGTAGTCGCCGGCCAACAGGCGCTCCTTAGCTACCCAAAGCAGCTCTTCATAGAAGTCTCTGGTGGAAGGCTCTTGCCGAATTCCCGTGATGCCTCGGAGGGCGTGTAAGAAGTCGGTATCCTCGCGATAAAGCCGTTTCGATAGCAAGGAGAACGCCATTCCGAAAATGGCGGGCTGGGACGACCGAGTTTCTCTCTGAGGGCCAAGACACCATGGTATCAGGTTTCCAGCGTCCATGTGGACGACATCTTGGACCCTATAAACGTTGCCCCCAAAGTGCTCTTGAACTTCTTTGTGGAACTGAGTCTCAAGTGTCTGAAGCAACATAGGATCGCCTGTATCTTTTGTGAGGTGATAGTCCGCAGTCATGATCCTGACGGCTCTGCTGCGTACGAACTCCATGGCCGTCCACATGCGTTTGGACCAGCGTGCCTTGCGAACTCCGGTGATGGCCGACAGACGCTCCATTGAGGTTCTTCCCTTTTTGATCTGGCTGAATAGCCTCGGTAAAACATCATCCAGGTAGACGACTGTAACATCCGTCTGGTGAAAGATCTCATGTATCACCAGCAGAATGTTGCCCTTGAGGCCGTCTGACCACTGGGGTACATGTGCCATAACTCGACAGAACCTTCCCCAGACTCTTCAATGCCACGGTACATGCGGACAGGCTCCTCTGTGACCATGCTCTTTGCCTCTGAGTCCTGGGGTGAACGGAGGTGTTGCTGTTGAGTTTCAGAGACGGTAGGATCCCACATGTGGGAAGTCGCTAGAAGGTGCACGCTTGCCTCTTTAAGACAATCTAAATGTTTATCAAACAAGACGACTTTCCATCCCGTGTGGGTGGTGATAGTCTTGCTTGAAGCCGTGGCCTGATTTTGATCCATGCTTGGCAAGGTAACTTTGAATGTCCGTACGAGAGCTTTCTTTGCGAAACCGCTTTGGCATACTAAGCAACGCGGGGTATCCGGATCCGGCTCGTACCGCCAGGTCTCCAAATTGGGAAAATCCATGACGGTGTTGTTGTTGTTTAGTTGAAAGTGTACTTGCCGGGTCTGTTAAGACGAGGATCTTAATTGAAAACGGGTGTCCAACTGAGACGCACGAGATTAGCAGATTGCGCGCAGATATAAGCAGGCTATGCTCGGCATTTCTCCAAGCCCATTGCCAACTATTCCCGTTACTGCAGAAGAATTTCTCATGCATCGACAGGGTATGTCGGAGTAAACAGGGGCTGTTGTGGATATTCACTCATGGGCGAGCCAATTCACACTGCATGCCTATGCTGTTCCAACAGTGCAACCACAGAAACCTGGTGTTGGTCGTTGACCGAGTTCTTAGAATAGTAAGGCTCCATGTACTTGAGGACACCCTTCTGAGAGATTGTGCAGGCTTATGCGACAACTCAAGCAGCATTTGCCGCGGCATAGTTGAGGCACGAAAGAAGCGTCCGCCTTGGGAGACCAATTCTTACGTAGAAAATGCAGTGTAACTCATATTGCTGCTTGGCCCCCTGGGACGAAGGACTCATAGCTCTGATCTGCGGAGCTTAGCAGGTGTTTAATTAGTTGATTGGTATGACCGTTGCAAAAGGGGCAACATGCTCTTTTTGTCGAATCATCAGTCACGCGATATAGGTTCTCATGTAGACAGCAATTTCTATCCATGAATCGATAAATTGTTTTAATCAAAACGGACAATTTACAAAGAAGCGTAGCATACACGATCTATTTCGTCGTTCCCAGTTATTCTTAACTAGTTTGAGTCGTCTTGGGAGTCAAATCCATTATCGTAATCATCCCCAGCATCGTTACTGTCAGACTGTTCGCTCAACTCGCCACTGTTTTCATCCTGATAGTCGGTCTGCATATCACTCTGGTCATCCTCAGATCCATCTGAATCTTGATCAGCCTCTGGCGCATATCCTTGATGTTGAAAGTACTGATTCTGTGGCTCATGGCCGTAATCAGGCTGGGGATCGTAGAGCAAGGACCCCGAATCAGACGCGCTCTCATTATCACTCTCAGACTGATCTTCGTGTGACTGCTGATATGTATTGTCCTCACCGGGCCAATTACCATGCTCATCAGCATGGTCCAAGACCTCTTGGTATGCGTATAGTTGTTCAGATTCGCTCGGTTGCTGAGCAAAATGCTCGTCGTTGTAGTAAGTCGGCGAAGATTGATTCGATGTCATGGATCGGTCGTCGAAATGCTGAGAATCGTTCCTGTAAAGTTCTCCATGGTGGTTCATGTCGGCGTAGTGGGTGCTGTCGGCATTTTCATCCCAATTGCTATTCACCGATTGTTGCCCTGGTGAAAACCAGCCTGTAGTTTCCTGATCTGATGGCGACGACGAACTCACACTTTTGATACTGCTCGTCTCTTGAGGAGCATCATTTTCATCGTCATAGAGAGTGCCATGTTGTCCATATGGATCGTTCCAAACCTGGCTGCTATATGGCTCCTGTTCGTCATCTCCCTGATCGGAAGCCCTTGATGATGCAGACGATGTGGACGAGCTACGAGCCAAGGAAGCAACTCCATAACCGATAGCTGCTCCCGCAGCCAAGCCCAAGGCAGCTGCTGTTAATCTGTTTGTTCTGCTGTCGGAGTTCGGTGATAGCTGGCCTCCAAGTGTAAAAGGCTGATGCTCATCGGGTCCTTTTCGAGGGCCATAAGGACCTATGTGCGAGCTCTGTTCTGCGTAGGGCGCCGAAGCCTGCCATGTAAGATCATGAGATGCTTGGGGTTCTCCGGCGGCTGGGGCATTGTTACGATTGCTCCAATCTGCCAACCTTGCATTCTGATCTTCATTGGGAGAGGAATAGTGACCCTGCCCCGTTGAAAGACTTCCCTGTGGCTGCCACGCTTGGATACCTGAAGTTTAAGGCTTTGCTGATGGGCCAGGATACATGGGCTCAGCCTGGGAATCCCAGGCTGAATTCGGCTTGCCCATGCCTGTAGTCTGTGCTCCTTCCCACGGGTCTGTCTTCGACGGATTTGAAGCCCCTGTCTGTGGTGCCCATGGATCGTACGAAGACTCGAGGGCTTGCGCAGTAGTCGGAGAAAGGTAGCTCTGATTGTTTCCCTGTCCAGTTTCCACTGGCCACGATGGAGATACGACTTGGTTGGAGAACGGCCCCGGTTGAGCGGCTGACATGTGCCCTGCATCTTGGGCCTGCCCTTTGCGATTCATTTCAGCATTAGGAACACCGCAAGAGTCGGCATCAAAGTCTGACTTCTTCGGAGCCCATCCTCCGGTAGTGGTGAAAGCAGGCACTGAAGGCTGTTGTTCAGATGCCGCATAAGTCGGGGCGCCTAGAGGCAGTCCCTGACTTGACGGGGGCTTCGTCCCAACAGGAGCTGAAAATGAACTACCGCCAGACGCATCGCCAATCGCGTTTGCCCTCCAGCCTGGCTGTAGCTGGTTGTCGCTGTCCATAACCGGGTACGAAGTCCCAGAATTCAGGCTGAGATGATTGGAAAACCGACGATTGCCATTGCCGGGTAAAAAGGCTGGTGGCCCCGATGGCGCGGGATTCCGATGCTGATCGTCGTAGGGAGCATTTCCATCTGAAGGAAATAACGAAATTTGTCCACCCTGCTCGTACCCTGGCTGCGACACAGGAAATTGCTGCACGTATCCCGGTAGTGACTCCTGCGTCGAGTAGGTGGCGGCTGAGCCCTGTCCCCCAGTCGTGGCAGCCCCAGACGCAGACTGTGTGCCATTGTGTGAGGGCATTGCGCTCTCTGCGGCATCAGACTGGAAAACTTGACCAAAGCCTTCATTTGCAGACTCCTGGGAGATGAATGAATCGGGAGCGCCTGATGGCAAAGTGCCTATGCCGGTCTCCGACTGAACCCCATGACCATGGATCTGGACCTGGGCTTGCTGACCAGGGAAATTTGATATTTGACCACTAATCTGAGATGCTGGAGATGATGAATGAGACGCAGTCTCAAGCTGTTGATCAGGCTCTCCATTATTGTTGGAGGGACTTTCCGACTCTGATTGTCCCATAGGATATTGCCCGGTCGAACTAACTGGTGGAGATGGCACCGAAATATCAACACCAATGGCCTCAGGGAAGTCGCCACTTCCATCGGTCTCGTCTCCAGACAGGTCATCGCTCGTGGTATTACGCTCCGATTCCGAATTGTCGGAGTTTCCACCGATGATATGAATGGGGACATTGTCTATTCTCAGGGTCACCACCTGAAGGAGGTTTCAGTGACCGCGCTCGTTCTGAATGGGTTGTTTGTTCTCTCCACGACACTTGCCGCCGTTACTCGGAATCATTCAACAATCAACGGGCAAACGGGTAGACCCCGCCCTCCTATGACGAATGCTGGTGCAGGCAAACCCCTCCTCGGCAAGAAGAAAATCAAGTTCTCTCGGGGAAAGCCCGCATTGAACAGGAGACGCAAGTAGTCATGAGTTGATTCTGGTCATGAGTGGCTCGGGAATTTGAATTTTGGGGTCTAACATTACGTTGCGGGACGTCGGAGTCATTAGATTGATGTTTTTGCCTGGGGAGGGGGTACTGGGCGCGAGGGTTCTGTTTGAGGAATAGGGCGGTTGCGCTATTTGCTTTTTTTTGTCTTCCAAGTTCGGTTCTTTAATGTTTAGATTCCATTAATTTCATTTATTCCTCGCGTACAACGTAGATAAATGCTGGTGATGTACGGTAGTAAGAACTTACCCCAGCGATGGTAGTACTGCTAGTCCACAATGTGTCAATCTCCCGAACTTGGTCAGGTAAGGCAAACCTTCAATCAGACAACATGAAAATAGCAATCTTTACAGGTCGAAGAGATACAAATGGATCAAAAAGTCGAATTTTTGCTTCATCAAGCGTTTGTATTCTCCCCCATTCACTCTGCCTTAGAGAACAACAGCTTTCCGCCACCATTCGTAACCCTTGTGCGCATGCTCTTCGCCCGCTCTTCCACTTCTTCAGGACCGGTGGCCGTAGTTTTAGAGCTATCCCAGCCTGAAAGCTCATGGAATAACAACGCCAAACTCGAGCTTTTCCATATAGGCATCCCGCGCTGATTGTTGCGGATGATCATGACTATGAGTATCGTAAATGTCATGAGAACTAAACTGATAGGGAGGATTAGTGGTGGCCAGGTGATCTCAATGTACGTGACACTGCTCATCGCCACACCGTCGAGGACTGTGTTATTGGCCGACGTTCGGAACGCCTCCGTCATGCTGTTGGCAACCTCATCCATGAGCTCTGCTATGTTGTCGAACTGACTAAAAGCCAAACCTAGTCCTGGCGTAATGCGTTGACGAATCTGTTGGTTGGTCCCAGATGTAGAGCTGTCGTTGGTTGTTCCCACCACTCCAGTAGTGCTCATGGACGTTGTAAATAGGTCCACCAGGTATTTAGCGATGTCTTTGTAGTTGCAGTAGTTGATCCTGAACTTTGTCTCTTCGGGCAGTTGACCTGGACTGGCCGGCTCCAACCCAATAAATGCACTAGCAGCATTGCCCTCGGTAGTGCCATCTCTGGTCGTCACCAGTGCTGTGCGAGGCCCGACTAGCGGTGCTGCACTAAAGTTGTCGTAGTAAGGCGTTGTAAACGTTCTGGCGCAGAGCTCTAAAGTACAGTGCATTGCCTGTGAAACTGGAGGGACTGTCCGCAGTGTGTCATCGGCTTTGACATAGCCGTAGGCCGTTATGTTAGGGGGGAACTTCACAAATGTGAAATTACTGAGGACAACTCGTCGTGACTCAGTAAAGCTGGGTACTTTGCGAGAATTCCACGCATCATACAAAGTGGTCTGCCACTGATCCCCGGCAATTGAATTCCAAATTGTAGAGTAAGGGGTTCTGACAGAGGCCCCGCCTGTTATGCCGAACACCGCGTTGAAGGTGGCGTCTTGGGAAGGTACCGTATAGTAACATTCAATCAACTTGAATGTCTCGTCTGGGTTGACGACGCAAGTTGGGACCACTGTATCTGTAAGATCTTCACAGCTACTACAGACACCCAATGTGGTTAGTGTTGGCCAGTTGCATCGCTCGAAACTGCAAGGCAGCGATGGAGCTAGAGTAGCATTCCAAATAGGTGCCAATATTGCTGCTTGCATCTCGGATTGAACACTCGCAGCGCCATAACATTGCCCGGATCTAGCATTAAGGAACGAAGGATCGTAGATTCGAGTCTCCAGAATGCCAGGGCTAGCGCCTTTCACTGGTGTGAGAATGACCGGCTGCGAAAAGACTGACTGGATGAATGGGTCAACCAGCAAGGATAAAACCACCAAGATGGATGCAAACGAAGCAAGCAAAGTCTTTCGGTTTCTAATTGATGCCAATTGGAATGCTACCCAAGGACCACGAGAGGCGTTGTCAAATAGTTGTAGGTCGCTCAGCTTCTGCGACCTGTTCTGGAAGTGAAGCCATTTCAATTGCGATGTAACTTCGGTAAGGACCAGAAGACAAGCGGACTTTGCGAGAGTTCCCAGAAACGATACGACGACAGTGGGAGTGAGGTATCCTTTGCCCAGCCCCCATTGGTCAAGTCTTCGCCCCTGTTCGTAAGATAGGACGCCAATAATGGATGCCATACAGGCAAGGCTGAGAGCGGAGGCAGCAATCTCCCATAGCCAGAGACGATGTACGAAAGAAGATCCTGGCCTTGCTCTTCGAGCATCCGGGGGTACATCTGCATTGCTTCGTGCGGGAGCGGAAGGACGAATGTCATGCTCAGACAAATTGTCGTCCTGTTGCGCCGCCCGTATGAACGATTCTGAGTCCGTCTGACGACCCTGGTCGCTTTCAATGTCGCGGCGACATCTACTAATGTCGTCGTGCGATATGCTTATTGTCTCGCTCTGGGCAAGTTGGTTGTTTTCATCCGGCTCTGAGGTGGCGTAACTCGGGCCTGCTTTGTTAAGCGTCGCTGAATGCTGTAGCGTTGAAGAGTTTGGCAATGGCTTCCTGCTTATAGCATGAGTACCGTTTCTCGTTGCCGGTAGATGCTGAAGCGCGTATTGCTGCAAGGGCGAGCAGGCATGCATGGGCTCCTCGTGGCTCAGTAACTGAGATTTAGAGTTGAGCGAAGCGGAATCTCGGGATTCATCGATAGGGACGTCCACAGACGTGGGGACGGGCAGATAGACAGACATCGTGCCCAATGCTCATGCATGCGTGCACCCAAAGTTGAGAGAATGAGAACCTAGCCGACGGATCTTCGGGATTCTTAACAATAGGTATTTATTCGACTTTAAATCTTGTTGCATAAGCAGGCTGCATCCATGCGATCCTTCAGAGACAGCTGAAATGCGTGAATGATGCGATAAGGCTCTGCTGTTCAGCTTGGGACTATTCATTGGTCAAACACGATTTGTAATTGGAGATCTTGTGTTCCAACATGCAGGAATCGACCGCAGTTAAGGTGGTTTTCTGTCACTGATGCGGTTAGTCCCACGCGTGCCGCCTGCTGCAGCCTGATTCTCACCTCCTCACCTCTCGTAGATCTTTTGGGCAGACCCGACCGATTCAAGAGATTAGGTCGACTTTGAGGCAGAAACCTGCAGATTTTGAATGAGGTTCAGCTGATTTAATCGACAACTACTTTTAAACAATATGAAAAGTTGATTGCCTTTATTGTTATTCCTAGGCTTATTTTTCCTTAATCATTACTGATGTCGTTTTCATCGTCTTTGTGGACGTTGTCGCCGTCACTAAACTCATTAATGCTAATGTTCTGTTACTACTATTCGCCCGAATAGTCCAAGGTTATCGAGACTCATCCGAAACATGTTATATTTCACGAGAAACTTTCGTGAATTACTATAAGGTACGACTGAGAACGCTGCCATGTGTCTCCAGACGGGCCGAAGGTCGGAATCCTACAAAGCGATCATTTCAATGGTGTAAACGATACGTGGAAGGTACTATTCCCAATTATGGCGAAGCTCTACTCTTGAGCCGTAAGATTTGCTTTGTGATAAGGTTTGAGCCGAGTGTAAATGGGGTCGAAAGTCCTCTTGATGCTTGCAACATTCCATACCACATGTGGAATGACGGCAGTCAGCCAGCAAATGATACCCCAGCCTTAACATGTTGCACCGGCGCTGCCGGGCCACTGGCACAACACAGGTGTAAGAAATGGATTCGATACCCTGTCACCATCCCTGCAGCCTGATCTGCCACAATGGCCGAAGCAACTTTCATTTTGCCTGATCAACCATGGTAAAATCTGATTGCAAGTTTCTCAATTCTCGAGAGAGTGACAGCAAGAACATAGAAGGGATGGAAGCAAGACGCTGGAGTTTTGGGATTCGTGACGCCACCTGGTATTTGAGAAGCTGGAGTTAGCAACCCATTAGAGAGCAGTTGAACCATTCATGTCAATGTCATGAGCGGGCTGAGCTTCACACTTTTCCCGCTCGTTGAAATTTAACCGAAACGACGGGATTCAGGCACTATCAACGAGCTTTGCTCCACTTCGCAGGTTAATTACGCGGAGCGAGCAGTGCAGTAAATCTAGCTAAACAAATAGATCTTTTTCCCGAAACATCGGTATCTGCTTAGATAACCTGAAGTATCCCGCTGGATCGCAAAGCTCACATGACAAAAAGCTGCCCAACTAAGCCTCAATCGCGCAAACCGAGGACTTTGCGGCCGCAATATCCTAATTCTGCCCCATCATTAGGGCGGTTGAGACAGAAAGCAGGACTGTCTGCCCCAGATTGGTAACCATTGTGGCTAGGCAACCAATCGGTCCGGGTTACTTGAAGAACAAGAGAGTGCCTTCTAGGATTTCACCAGGTAGTCGAAGTCGTAAACACTCGTATTCTGAACAGCGGTAAGACGATTCGTAAGTGACTGAAAATTTACTCTGAAGTTTTTTTAAGACAATATTGACCTTGAGGATGTGCAAGGAGGCATGGCGATGAAGACGTCTCGGAGCAGACGTAGACAGGTTCATACGCCAAGTCGGACGAGTCGATTTCGAAGGCCGGGCCGGATAGCGGGACGGCGGTGGAATCGGCGGAATGGCATAATTGTCGCATAAGTGCATCAGAGTGTTATGCACGTAATATGCAACTCACCCGGAACCTATGCATAGCACAAGCGTGTCGGAGCTCTCTCATTGGTCCAGTCGAACGCGCTAGAGCCAGCCGCGAACAAGGCTGCGAAAGGCTGAAAACAATTCTTTCGACGCCCAATCCACGCGATCGGGTGACCTTTGACAGCATTTTCCCCTATCATTTTTGGTCCAATTTCATTTAGACGTCCCTCGATCCCAGCGAAATGACATAGCCGCTGCCAAAACGCACCGAAAAGCGCAGAAGATTCGATCGCGATACCCAAAATGGTGGTCTGCAAGTTCTACGAGCAGGGGAACTGCAGGTATGGAAGTACGTCGCGCATCCCCGGTCGCATCGATCGGCCAGCCAAAACAAACCCAATCATGGGCCAAACACGTGCAGAGCCAGCACGCTGACATTGGCGAACCCAGATAATTGTCGATTCGAACATCCCCGAGGCCAGTCGAACAACCGATTTGCAGCTTTTGGCGGGAACTCCGGAGGGGGGTTCAATCGCGGCGGAAACGACAGTTCGTGCTCATCATCCTGACCCAAGGGCAACACTACGTACTCACAGTCGCGCAGCCCTACCGTACATGCTATCGAAGGAAACGATCGAGAAGGACCTGACCTCTGAACAACCACAATGGATCCTGTCAGCGTACGGACCGGGAAGGGACGCCCCGGAGCAGCTGTTCGGCGGACCGATGCGCGAGCAGAGCTTTGAGGAAATGAGGCTTCACCATGTCATGGCGACGGCCTCGGGCAACCCACAACAAGCGGTAGGAACCACGAATCGTGTCTCGCCGGCGGGCGGCTGACAATACGCAGCTCAATCAAGCGCAAGAGCTGTACCAGCAAGCACAGCAACAGATGAAGACCGCGGTCGGAAATCTGGACGGTGCGATCCAATTCCTCGTCTCCGCCGAGCAGAAGCATCCGAATCGAGTCGATATCTGCAAACAAGGGACGTTACCAGGCGGAACGACGGGAGAGTTTGCGGTTGGCAAGAGGGCAACTGGTTCGCTCGGCCAGGCGAACCCCTTCGGGTCTGGGGCATCTTCCGGAGCGTCCGCGAATCCGTTCTCTTCTGGTGGTCAACAATCATCAGCCTTCGGCAGCGGAGCTTCGACGACAGGTAGTGCCTTTGGTCAAGCATCCGCTCTTGGGCAGAAGCCCAACCCGTTTGGTAGTGGAGCCGCCGCACCTGCCTTTGGCCAGCCTTCGCAGCCGACATCAGCGTTCGGCCAAGCATCGTCAACACCGGCATTTGGTCAACCCTCTCAGCCAACGTCGGCCTTTGGCAGCGGCGCGCAGAGCTCAACCCCAGCATTTGGCCAGCCGTCGCAGCCTTCATCGGCTTTTGGACAGCCTAGTGCTCTTGGAGGAGGGACGTCAGCGTTTGGTCAAGCATCAGCGCTTGGTCAGAAGCCAAATCCCTTTGGAAGTGGTGGTGCCTTTGGACAGCCTGCCCAGTCTAGCGGGACAACTACCACCGCGTTCGGTCAACCTTCACAGCCTGCCGCATCTGGTAGCGCATTCGGTCAACCGTCACAGCCTGGGGCTTCCGG